TTCATTACATCGCGTGCCCTGCGAAAACTATTGATGATAGAATCAAATTTAATAATGTACTGCGACTTTGTAGAAGACATTATTATTTATAAAAAGTGTCGCGACAGCATATGTCTAACTATTATAGTTATACCGCAATAAGTGTTCTTTTATTTTAAAAAATAAAACAACGTCAAATATCGTTAAAATTTTTGTTAAATACCCGAGCGGAGCCGGAGCGGGCCGCTAGTATATTATAAACTAGTTGTGGCTTACGACTTTGGTTTTTTGAGATCATAACAATTTCTTCTATAAGCTCTTCTGAAATTCCGAGATGTATTGGCTTATATATTTGTATATTTCCTTGAATCCAGTACTGGATAGTTTCATTTTAGAATAAGATTAGGTTGTAGTTCTCTTGGTAAGTAAATTATACATTTTGTAGGCTGTTTTTAGTGTAAAATTGAGACTAAGACCTCATGTCTCAAAGTTTTGGGGCACCTTAAGAAGCATCCAAGACGGCTTTGTCAAACTATTTACTAATAATTTTTTTTATTATTATATTCTTTCAGTATGTGCATTTTTAATGCATCTCACAGTACAATTACACCTTGAACCTTAGAGGTGTTTCTAAAATTAATAACAAAATTTTAATTTTAGCAAATTATTTTTAAGTGTGAAAACAAAAAAAACTATTGAAACATATACACACAAAATGACATTATTTTTGCGACAATCCGTTTAATATACGTCCCGCTGTGACTTAGATTAGTAAAATAAGTCACGTTGATTTATGGTTTAGTTCGACGAAAAGGATATGAGTTATGTATTTAGTATTGATTGAAAATATCGTAAAAAATATAATTTATTGCCTTGGAATGTGTGTAACGAGCTGTGATTGTTGGTACGCAGTATTACACGAACGTTAAAATTGGGGTACATGTTTTTTATTTATTTTTTATTGCTTAGATGTGTGGACGAGCTCACAGCCCACCTGGTGTTAAGTGGTTACTGGAGCCCATAGACATCTACAACGTAAATGCGCCACACACCTTGAGATATAAATTCTAAGATCTCAGTACAGTCAAACCTGGATAAGCGAGAGTTCAAGAGAGCATAATCTCATTCTCACTTATAGAGGTTTCTCACTAACCCGAGTTTTCTCGCTAATGTACCCCCTCAATTTCAATTCACGATTTTCCGGATTCAAATGCATTCACTATTTTAAGTTTATCACTTAATGACAGTACTTTAATTTTCCGTTTTGACATGATGCAGAACAGAACTTTCCTTCGCAATTGATTAACGATAAACTGAGTAAGTCCGACAAACAGGGCGGTACACAGGGACACGTGTCCATTCGAAAAGAATGCGATAAAATAACAACGCTATTTAGGTCCACGAAATGGAATAGGTTCAATATTGACGAGAAAACAATACAAAAACAATGTTAAGAAGTTCCACGAAAGTTAAGAATGGGTCATAAAATAGCTGATATTAAATTTGGAATTTGTTCTGTCATTTGTTCCTCCTAAATAATATAAATAAATAAAGCTCGACTGTCGCTTATAGAGTTATACATAAGTAGCAGTCTCACTTACGGATGTCCATGAGGGAAAAATGACTCTCTCTTACAGAGGTTTCTGTTTCTCGCTAATAGATGTTTTAGGAGCTAAAAATGACGGGTCCTGGCTATTACTCTCACTTATAGAGTTTTCTCACTTATCCAGTTCTCACTTACCCAGGTTTGACTGTATAGTTACAACGGCTGCCCCACCCTTCAAACCGAAACGCATTATTGCTTCACGGCAGAAATAGGCGGGGTGGTGGTACCTACCCGTGCGGACTCACAAGAGGTTCTACCATCAGTAATTTTACCGACTAATTTCACCCGTTCGATGGAAGATCTTTCCTTTGTTGTTACCCCTTAATCCTCATTTAGTTGGACGTATTCCTGGCCCGGTTATGGCCAACCTCGTAGTAGCTATCTATCTATCAAAAATAGTCAAGACAGTCCCAGCTTGTACAGACTCGCAGAATACCTTATTAATAAGAAGAATTTTAAGCATTGTTATTAAATTGTGGTAAGTCTAATACCTTATGTGCTACGAATAGGGTCTGTATGCTACGCAACTACGTTTCAGCTACGAAGTTGCTACGAAGCCATATTATCTTATATCTTATCTATGTATCTATATATATAAAAATGAATTGCTGTTCGTTAGTCTCGCTAAAACTCGTAAGCGGCTAGACCGATTTGGCTAATTTTGGTCTTGAATTATTTGTGGAAGTCCAGAGAAGGTTTAAAAGGTAGATAACAATGAAAATGCTTGGAATTAAACAAAAATAAAAATTTTGTTTTTCCTTTGATGTGTCCCCCTTCGGATTCCTTTGTTTGTTTTAAGTTTATTTTATACAGAAGTTTAGGTATTTTATTTGTCGATCGAGGCACTACGAAGTCTGCCGGGTCAGCTAGTTATCAATATTATATTCCTTAGAAGTGCGAACGAAATCAGGACCCATTTGGTTGCTACCTCCTAGATAGTAACAATGTAAATGCCGACACCCACTCTAAGACATGTGTTCTATTCTCAGTTCTGTTGTATTATAAAATGGCCACCTAACTCTACAAAAGGGAACGGAACGGTTCACAAGACGCTCTAACACTGGTAATTAATTATGCAAATCATATTTTTTTACGGCTTTGATTTTTATTCCATGTAGTCATTCCTTCATCGGGGAAGTTATTCGTAGAGATGAAAATATATTAAGTGTGTAATTCATTAAAAAAAAGTACCTGGCTGTGGGATTCGGAACACTGGCACAGTCGCTCGATACGAATAGACCTGGCGTCTAATCCTTTAGGCCATTACGACATCTGTAATAAATAATCATCCCATATCTTCGAATATATAAAATTGTAGATCTTGTATATATGGTCTGGTCTATAATCTACGTGATCAAAATACACCAGTCACTATGAGAATTTGAATCTCAAGCATCGTACTGGAACCCGTGATAATTTCATATTAAATAATGTGATTTTACCTTAAGCAGGTTTTGACAATATTATTTTTGTAGCCATCTCGGCTATTCGTTTATTCCGGGGGAGGTTCTGTGGCTCGGGCATATATTTTTTTATTTTATTGCTTAGATGGATGGAAGAGCTAACAGCTCACCTGATGTTAAGTGGTTACTGGAGCATAGATACAACGTAAATGCGCCACCCACCTTGAGATATAAGTTCTAAGGTCTCAGTATAGTTACAAGTATATAGTCTAGAAGAAGCAGGATTGGGCTGCGAATCGGGTGTACCCAAGGAGTGCTCTCTCTCGTAGGGAAGCCCAAGAGCCTGGTCTGGTACTGTGGAATCTGCGCGTGCTCCAAGTGCCGAATTGCTACGTGGTTTTTCAGCGTTGGAACAACTGGTAGTACTTATGGTCAGAGGCCAAAATCACTTCGGGGTCATACCACCAGCGTGGTAGTAGAAATAATAATAGGCTATTTATAAAGTAAGGTCTCGCGATCCGGATCTAGTTATTGGAACATCAAATTAAAAAGCGATATTTTTGGAACGAAGTTCCTTATAGGACGATGCGGAGGGGTACCCTAACCGGGAAAAAACGTCCGTAATTAAGATTTTTATTAGTAATGCACATAGTGTACGACTTAACTTTGTAATAACCAACAACAAAAATTTTTTTTTTTATCATTTATTTACCATGATCTCAAGAGCGTTTATTTGCGCAATACACTAACTCTTATACAAACAACCGCGAATGAAGTGTACCACAATAAGTTCACACGTTACCGAATGACTGTGGGTTGTTGCGAAACCTCCAGTTTTATTTTCTTTATACCTCGAATAGAATTTAAAATTAATATTTTTATAATAAGGAACTTCGTTCCTATCCGGTGTCCCACGACACAACACATCTTTTTGTTTGATTTTCGGTCGTGCAACCCTAATCCTGTTGATCCAGTGTCGAGTACAACCGAACTCAATATATAACGCATTTAGCCCGAGAACAACGGACGAAACGTGACCAATCTGCGGAACAACATACAAATTACAGGCCGCTTTGATCTTGGAGCTCTCGGGTTTTTTTTTTTTCTCCTGTATTTATTTATGAACGAAAATAGACCTGGAACGCGCTTCGAAAGATACACCTGTCCCTTTCTTTTTTCGAAATTATGTCGAAGAGAGTTGCTTTTTTTTCATATTTCTTCATCGTTTTCCCTTGCGTCGATAATCCCCAATGCTGAGGGTCATGGCCTCATGAGGCTTTCTTGGGAAAATACACATCGTGGGATTTTTTGTCCTTCTACGGCCATGATTTTGGAAGAGATTTAGTTCTTCGAGGCGACTGAAGCCTTATTTGAGTCCAGCTAATTAACCACCGCCAGATATTTGGCGTTGACTATTTTACGGTTGAAAGGTGGAACTTTAACTCAATCCTCCTCTTTTCTCATCTGGTGTTGGGACCGACATTGACAGAGTTATAGTTATCTCGTGTTAGGTACACGTAATTTAAATTAAAACTATTTACTACAATTGGCAATGGCTAAAACCAATTCATTACTGGCACGAAAGGTTCACAAATCAAATGGTTCCATTGAAATGTGCATTACGGTGTTTATTTATCAACCAAATCATCGGTTACACTGAATTCAATTTCTTTCTACACAAATATTTTATCAACATTTTATTTATGTCTTTGAGTGACGGTACCCGATAATATTTATAACAGGCCGACATGTTTTCTGATTCAACTACGAAAAAAAAAAAAAATATTCCACATACGAAATTGGAACACCGGCCATTGGCGCATTACATTAAATACTACGTCAGAGCATAGACAACGTAACATTCATAATTCGCACGCGGCTTTCCCGCCCTCGCGTTTTCGACGCGTGATCGAAATTCAAAAGTGAAAAATCGTGTCGTTCAGAGAAAATACTCTTTGGGGCTGAGTTAGTTGTCGCGCAACTGGCGCCGAGTTCGGTTGTGTGATGAGAAGCTACAGCGCTTCCACAAAGTTTTCCGCGCGTTCGTTTACGTGAATCGAATTTGATTGTGTCGTATTAAAAAAAAAATACCGTAATAGTATTGTGTTTGTAAAATTTTCTTATTTTATGTGTAGTGTTTTAATTTGTGACTTTCCGACGCATTATTGAGCATAAATGTAAGTATTGAATTTGTTTTGTTTAATTCTTTAGAAATATGTTTGTAGCGATGTAATGTTTTAAAACTATTTCATCTGTTTCCATTTAAAAAAATCTAATAGTACCCGAATAATAACGTATGACTAAATAAAATAAAAAAATATTTTAGCGCGGTATTGCCGCAGCAAAATGCATTTTGTATAAAAAACACATAAAAACCATAAGAGGATTCAGAAAAGTAACTACGTAAAATAATTTTAGGTGAACATATATGCACACATATAATCTCTTTTATATAGTACATACATTTGTATTTGCTATAATTGAAATTTTAAAACTATATAGATGTTTCTATTCTGACAAAAATCAGGATAACTGTTAAAATACAACGTCAAAAATTATATTACTCCGATATCAATCTAAACATACAACGACCGATTACAATGAAGTAGATACTGGTTTAGTTATTACATAACAACATATTCAAGATATTAAATTAATCAAAAAGAGCAGTTATTTTGTAAAAAAGAAAATGTAGGACATTCCAGATTACTTACGTATTAATTAGTCAACTGTCTATTCCGTCTATCGGTCTGTCTATCCGAATATTCACTATGTTCTAACATAGCATAAAAATAATAATGTTAATAATACTTTTTAATAAATAAAAAGCCGATATTCTTCTAGAGGTTTCTATATTTTCTCAGATACCAAATGTTGAAGGAATCAGATTAGTGTATCTTTCTTTTACTCTAACAGTCTCTTAGTAAGTTATTGGGTACTTACGTCGCTTGTTGTATGTTCACAAGTGCTCATATTCTGTTGTTAAAGACTAAAAAAATAGACAGAGACAATACAACAAGCACCTTACCTTATCCGTGATAGTAAAATTATCTCTTACTGCCAAATGTACCAAATGTATCATAAATCTACAACTTCTATTTTGGCTGCGAAGCATTTGTTCCTTCCACTCTGAATGGTAGAAGAGTTGTTGTCCATGCGACCCCGTGATCACTTAACATCAGATGGACCGTGAGCTGGCTCATCTATTTACAACAACAAAAACGAAATAAATAATCACAAAAATGCATTAACTTAAATCCTTTACAAGCACACGCGTGATTAATCTAATTAAAAATATTAATTAGACAATAAATTTATTTTTATTAAGCATCAGAACATAAAATGTACATTTTAATAAAACTCGTAAAGAAATGAGTATGTCATTAGCGAGAATTTATTAAAATGTTTACGTCTTTTATATAAATACAAAAGTAACGTTGTCGGTTTGTATGTGTTTTTCGGTTAGTTAAAACCGATCACGGGTCGTTTTATTTGGTTATTGAACAAACAGATAGGCGGCAGCGAGGTTCTGCTCTTGGCTTTGTTGACGTCCATGGGCGACGGTAGTTACTCACCATCAAGAGGGCTCGTCTGCATACAAGGACATTTAAAAATAAATAAAAGATGTGTGGTGTCGTGGGACACCGGATAGAAACGAAGTTCCTTATTATAAAAATATTAATTTAAAATAAAACTGGAGGTTTCGCAACGACCCACGGTCATTCGGTAACGTGCGAACTTATTGTGGTACACTTCATTCACGGTTGTTTGCATAAGAGTTAGTGTATTGCGCAAACGATCGCTCTGAGATCGTGGTCAATGAATCATAAAAAATATGTTATTTTTTGTACGTTATTACAAAGTTAAGTCGTACACTGTGAGCATTACTAATAAAAATCTTATGTTACGGACGTTTTTTCCCGGTTAGGGTACCCCTCCGCATCGTCCCATAAGGAACTTCTTTCCAAAACATTCAAAATAATTAAAAATTTTATGATGTAATATTTTCAATGTGCGTAGAAATATACGAATCACGTCCCCGTTCGTGAAACACAGGGCTGATACAGACAGAGCGTTTTGGATCTCGGGTATTTACCACCACCCTCGTGCATATTTCTTACATGACGCTGTAGCAGTAGCCGTCATACAACACAAGGTCTATCGTGCAATATCACCAGTTCAGTGAAACATCTTTTTTTTATTATTGCTTAGATGGGTGGACGAGCTCACAGCCCACCTGGTGTTAAGTGGTTACTGGAGCCCATAGACATCTACAACGTAAATGCGCCACCCACATTGAGATATAAATTCTAAAGATCTCAGTATAGTTACAACGGCTGCCCTACCCTTCAGACCGAAGCGTATTACTGCTTCACGGCAGAAATAGGTAGGGCGGTGGTACCTACCCGCGCAGACTCATAAGAGGTCCTACCACCAGTAAATCTTAAAGAATTGTCTTCGGTATTCGGTATCGGTAGACACAATTAAAAATACTTTTACGGTTTAATCTCGAATAATTATCGTTATGTTAGTTATGGCGTTTCGAATATTTTACGGTTTTTGTAGGGATAAGTTTCGTGTAGTCGGCGTGGTGGAGCTCGATGGGGTTTAGTCGGTAGTCGGCTCTGCGGGGTAAGTGCCTCGCGCGCCTTTTTCAAGGCGTAGTCTCCTGTGAGAAATTGGGGGAGTGGGAGGACCTCGGTCCTTCTCTTCTCCCCTTCTTCCTCTCAGGAGGCACCAGAGTCCGAAATAACCCGGTCCGTTACCCCCCTCGACCGGGTATCCGTAAATGGACTCCCCAGTGTTAAAAACAAAGGGGGTACTAAGTTTTGTGACTTCGTTCGTCGTGAGTAGGTCGTGAACATGAATAGAAAAAAAAACAAGCTGTACTGTACTTGACTAAGTCGGTGGGTAGTAATTTGCGTCCCGTACTGTTGCGCTGAGTGTCGCGGGTTCAATTTCCACATCGGTCACGACAGTCAGTACTGCACAAGCATTGGACGTGGTTTTTTTTAAAGGGATTTTATCATCTGGTAACTAATATAATATATTCATAGATAATAAACAGTTAACAAACCACCGTTATTACTCACTTAAACCTGAAGAAACACTAAATAGACAAAATAAAATAAATCACATAACTTCACTCCTCGCTTTCCCGCTAAGAATCATTGGACATGGAACGTGGTCTTTGACAATTAGTGCTGTCCCTATTGCGGTGGGTAAGCCTGTGACTCTGACAGATAATACTGCCCTATGTAACCGCACACATTGCCATTTGCCATCTACAAAATTGTCCTTTATTTAGGTACTAGCTTTTGCGCGCGACTTCCTCCGCGTGGCGTTCACAAATAGTTCACAAATAATGCTTTATTTTAGAACAAATTTGGTTAACATAAAAAACATTATAGTGAGCCAACTTTAACATATAGACATATGCTGTCACGGACTTTTTTTAGAACTTTTAAAGGGGAACAATTCTGTCATACATTATTTTAGTAAAACTTTAACCGTTTCTGCAGCGCACGCAGCGGACGCTCTCAAAAGGAGCAAAAAAAAACCGCTTTTATTAGCCTTAGCGTGATTTTATATAGCCTATAGCCTTCCTCAATAAATGGGCTATCTAACACTGAAATAAATTTTCAAATCGGACCAATAGTTCCTGAGAATAGCGCGTTCAAACAAACAAACTCTTCAGCTTTATAATATGTATTAGTATAGATAATTATAATTAACGATTGTCATTTAACTAGTTCCCTTTTTATTATTCCCTTAAATTACTGAGTTACGATCGGTGATTATTTAATAGTATTAAATTCCTGTGTTGCTATACCTCGGTTTCATTTCTGATATCAGTCGTAGCCCGACATATATATTTAAATGTCCACATATAAGTATGTATGACAGTCTCTAGTACCCATAACACAGGGAATCCTAAATTGAGGCAGGATGATAGTGCATAATTTGTACCCTCTGTCATTGCTGAAGTCCATGGGCGACGGTAACCACTCACCATCAGATGGGCCGTATGCTCGTCTGCCTACAAGGGCAATAAAAAAAAAAGATTAAAAAAAACATTATAAAACTAAACATTTTAGCGATGTGTATACAGGTACTGATTATAATAATTCATCAACATCAAATGGATATCTTAAAAGCATTTGTATTTGAAGGCAGTAAAAAGTAAATGATAATAATATACTTCACATATGACATTTAAGATTTTTATGTGATTTGGGGTTTATTTCGCATTATGGGTGACTGGATTCACGATTACCACTTAAGACTAGGTGGACCATAGGGCGTGAGTCTGCCATCTAAAGCGACAAATAAAACAGAGCAATGTCACAGAAATCAACTAGTTCGCTTCGAATAAAAAATTTCAAAGGAAATATATTGTGTTTATGATCCGAAAATTTTATACGAGAAATATGACTTTTACAAATTGCTTTGACTATGTCCGATGTTGATTCGGGGAAACAGCGTTAATGTTTTAATGTTATGAATGTGTGTCGTATACCATTTTTAATCTATCCAAATATTATTGTGCTCAAGTATTATGTAACTATCCTCATATAATAGAATCTAAATATTGTGTTCATTGAAATTTCAAGACTTAATTTCAATTTCAATTAATATATGTAAATATAAACTTTTTTTTCTTAAGCTCGTAAATAGCTTCTTTTTTTTTATTGCTTAGATGGGTGGACGAGCTCACAGCCCACCTGGTGTTAAGTGGTTACTGGAGCCCATAGACATCCACAACGTTAATGCGCCACCCACCTTGAGATATAAGTTCTAAGGTCTCAGTATAGTTACAACGGCTACCCCACCCTTCAAACCGAAATACATTACTGCTTCACGGCCGAAATAGGCAGGGTGGTGGTACCTACCCGTGCCGAGGTCCTACCACCAGTAGAATTTGCTATTGGGCAAAACAAAAAAAAATATGGTTTGATGCAAATAACAGAAAAATTCACCGTTATAAAACTTTCTTTGCCTATTTAAATATAGATTTGAAATATTAGGTTCACGGAAACAGGCATTGTTGTTATTTGGGCTTCGTGCGTACGGGTAGATGAGCTTACGGGCTCCATCTAAGAGAATTTGCTATCACCAGTCCTAGCAAGAGCAAGGCTTGACTGAATCTACTATCGGATCGGAATCGCGACCCACT